TCGCAAAGAATGCGATGCTCCTGCGTCGCGACAATTAAAATCATACAATCCACTTCATCAAGGTCATAGCGAAATGTATAGAAAAATAATTAATGAAATTCAACAAGAAAAATCATTATTCAAACCTAAATATAATAATAATTTATCTGACACAGAAGGATTAAACAAAGCATATACAAATGGTAAAGGTTATTATTTAGATAATAATAAACTATATGTTGCTGGAACATTTGGTAAGTCTAATATTATATCAAATATTAATGATATTTTAAGTGATATTACAATTCCATTTGGCTTAAGTTCATTCAGTGAAAGGTATAGAGATATTAGCGATATACTTGATGAAAACCATAATATTAGTGAAGTTATTTCACATTCATTGGGTAGTAGTGCGAGTGCTAAATATTTAAAAGAAAATCCTGATAGAAATATTAGATTAACTACTTACGGTGCTCCTTTTATTTCAATGTCAAACAAAAACGATGACAACTACACAAGCATACGAAATTTTGGAGATATAGTCAGTATTTTAGATAGAGGCAGTATAACATCAAATAGAGGAGGTTTTAACCCATTAACAAATCATCAACACTCATTATATGGTGATACTGGCAAGGATGTATCAAGAAGCATTGAACCTGTAAAGGAAATTTTATAGGCTTATATATAATGCCTAATAATGACATAAAAAATAGTATAAATCCTAAAAAGAAAATCAGTTATGACGATATTAAAAAGATTGTAGAAGATGAACGCGAACCTAATTATAAGGTTGAAAATAATAATATTAAAAATAAATCTAAAAAACTATTAAATAAAAAATCTAAAAAAGAAGTTATAGATTATTCACACTTTAAAATAAATTAATTTAATAATAGAATAATTAATATTTTTCTATTATTAAATATATAAGTTATGGAAACATTAGATATTGAAGATGTCCTTGTTGAACAGAATTTAAGATTTAAATTAAAAGATGGCGGTTCTTATGTTCGGTCAAAAGAAAGTAAAAACTTTTACCCTTCATCGGTTTCTACTTATACCGCTGATACAAATTCTGTAATTAGGCAATTTAGGGACAACCTCATGCTTACTTTGCTTAAAGTCATATTTGATTTCATCAATTGGTTTTACATCAGGCATAATAAAAATAATATTATAAATACGTATAAAATAAAAAATATAATATAATTATATCATAATGGCAATAGAATCTATTAATTTAAGTGAAGTGGCTAGTATTCGGAAGATATATAAATTTGGTGATATCTTAGTGCCCGACACTGAACAAATATATTATGATACAATGTTATACTTTTTATCGGCAATTAAAAAACAAAATATCGTAGTATCCAAGTCCTCAATTGAAAATGACAATAACCTAGATTTTAATTTTAGAAAGTTAGTAAATTTTATGAAAGATTATCCCGATATGTATACAAATGAAATGATAAGTAGTGTAGAAGAAGTTATTGATATTAATATTAGAGATGTTAGTCTATCAACTGCAATAAAACTTACTAAAGAAAATAGTTTAAATACATATTCTATTTAATATTAATGGACGTGAGGAACGAGCCTCGCGTGCTAACGCGACCATCTTTTTTATGATATGCTGGCAGTGAATATCATAAAAATGGAACAGGCTTTCCATTGTTTTCAATCAATAAGCATTGAAGCTAATTAGTTTGATGCATTGTAAAGAAAACCCCAGTGCTGAGCCCCACCAATATTCTATTATGCATGAAAATAATAAGATTAAATAACTATTTTATCTTATTATTTATATGAATATGAGTTATTCGGATTATATTGATATAATAAATGAAGTAGAAAATATAGAACGGGTTGTCATAACTGATAATAGATGTAAAAAAATATGTTATTTTATTTTAGAATTAATTAAGTTTTTGATACAATATATTAAAAATATAAATATTAATATAAATGCCAAAAAAGAAAACCAAAAAGAATAAGATAGGTTTAAGTGCTTCTTCAACAGATGAAGATAGCGGAGAAATTGTTAAAGAAACATCAGTATTTGAGATTGCTTGTCCTATGTGCAAGAAGATGTTAGAACTTAAAAATGAATTAGAAATAAAAAAATAATAAAAAATGTAAATGTTCATGTATTCCAACAAGTTTCAAAATAAGTAAAAATGATAAGAACATGAGTATTGATAAAACTAAAGACAGTATCAACTTAGAAACAGATGTCCATAATATAACTTTTAAGTTTGGTAGGCAAGCAACACCATCTGATAATAATGAAAACGAAACGCAGGAAACTATTAAACAAATGATGAAAAATTAGTATTTAAAGAGTAGATTTAACATAATTGCACTTTATAAATATATATAATTAAATAAATAAATAAATATCTAATTATTTATATAATCATAATGCCAACAATGAATGGAGAAGACCATAGAATTATAACTTTTGACGATGAAGAAATTAAAGACCTATTCAATGGTGATGAAAACTTTGCTAAACAATTGAGTGAAGAATTTTTTTATTGGTTTGATGCTAAATTCAGTGATAAATATTTTATGAAAGGTATAACTAAACCAGGTAACTTTGGTAAAATATTGAAATTTTTTGAAATTACAGGTGACGAGGAAGGTTTAATACAAATGAAAAATAAAATTGATGAAAGACTCTTAGAATATAATTTATTTACATATATAACATTAAATTATTCAGGTAAATTGTATAATTAAATAAATAATTATCTAAATAAATATATAGTAATGTCTGAAAATGAGAATTATACTATTAATGATTTAATGAAGAAGATAACATTAATTGGTAAAAATATTAAAACCTTAAATGATATGATTAAATCCATTGATGACAAAATGAAACCAGTTGAAAGCGAACAGCAGGAGAAGGAAAAAATCGAAAAGATATTTCAAGCAAAATCTATAGGAAGACCAACGGGTGATTATCCTACAAAGCAAAAGAAATACTGTGATATGTTGAATACAGGAAAAATCAAACAACCAAAGCAACAAACATTAGAATTTTATAAAATTTCAAAAAATGATGATGGAGTATATGTATTATTTGAATAATTAATATCTAAATAATTCTAATAAATGAATTTATTAGAATTATTTAGCGGAACAAAAAGCGTCGGAACCATAGCAAAGTCGCTTGGATTTAATGTAATATCATTAGACTTGAAAAATGCTGATATCAACACTGATATTTTGGAGTGGGATTACAAACAGTTTGACAGAAACCATTTTGATTTTATTTGGAGTAGTCCCCCATGCACTGAATACAGCGTAGCAAAAACTAGGGGAATTAGGAATATCGAATATGCAAATAGTATTGTCTTAAAAACTATTGAGATTATCAAATATTTCAATCCTAAATATTTTGTAATCGAAAATCCACAAACTAGATTATTAAAACATCAGGAGTTTATGGATGAGTTTGAATTTAAAGATGTTGATTACTGTAAGTATGGATTTAATTACAGAAAACGCACTAGGCTCTGGAATAACATTACAACTTGGAAACCTAGAGAATTATGTAAAAAGGATTGTGGCAACATCAGGAATAATAAACATATTGAAACCGCGCAGAGACTACCAAATGGAAACAAGGAAAAATGGGGAGACAATCCAACAATACATAAACAGGAAGATTTATACAAAATACCTAGCGAATTAATTTGTGAAATCTTAGTGAGTTTGACGGATTAAGGATTTAGGTTTGGGGGTAGGTCAGTTGTTGTGGAAGTTTAGGGCAGTTGCTGTGGATGATTAAGGCAGTTGCTGTGGGGCAGTTGCTGTGGAAGTTTAGGGCAGTTGCTGTGGAAGTTTAGGGCAGTTGCTGTGGATGATTAAGGCAGTTGCTGTGGAAGTTTAGGGCAGTTGCTGTGGAAGTTTAGGGCAGTTTAGGGCACTTGCTATGGAAGTTTAGGGCACTTGCTGTGGAAGTTTAGGGCACTTGCTGTGGATGATTAAGGCGTCGCACCCCTAAATCCTACAAGGCGGGCCATGCGCAACTCCGGAATATCCAAATTTTGAAAAATGAGTAATTATTTGTTGTAAAATGTATTTAAAGAAATAAGAGCATAATACAGTATGGAGGAAATTGTATTCAAACATTGTTCAAGATGTAATAAATCAAAAGCTGTTGAAGAATTCACTGAACCAAATAAATTATGTAATCTATGTATTGAAGACAATAGGGAATATCGTAGATGTAAAAAGGAAGGGGTTGAGAGAGCGAAGGAAGTAAAAGAACCGACCATAACATATAAATTAAGAAATTATTACTGCGAAGTCTGTAAATATGAATTGAGATTGTGTAAGAAAAGCCAACACGAACAAACATTATATCATCAAGACAGATTAAGAAGAAAGGAACATCCAGAAGAATTTGAAAATGAAGAAAAACCAGACAGAATACGTTTTCAAGATGGTAAGGAGTATTTTAAATGCAATAAGTGTAAAAGCGGGGTTATGTCTTCTCTATGGGGTAGGCATTGTGCAACTCTAGAACATCAGAAGAAAAAAATGAATAACTCAACTGAAATTTTACGATAAATATGCTCAAACATATTTATCATAAGATTTGATGCAGGTAGGATTTCCAAGGGGCGCCTTACCTTCGCGAGATTTTTGGGTAGAATATTTTCGGACTTCAGATTTCGCGCTTTTATCTAATTGCGCCCGGCCTATTCTAACTGCAATTCCCCAAGGCAAATTGCAACTAATTAGCACGTTGTGGTTCAAGGTTCAACCATGGTTTCTGAACGGTGCGAAGCCACAGCATGTGCTAACCCTAACACCCACGCGCCACGTGCTGCTAGGTCCTCCAGTAGAGAGGTTAGAACAAGTTGGTAATTACCCGTGTTTTTTTTTCTGTAGTCTATTTCAGTAGGGGAACCCACTCCCCCAAAAAAAGAAACGGTAGAGAAGGGCACCTCGCTGAGGGACCTAGATTCGATTTCCCCGGGGTGTCATCTTGGTTTCGCGAGGCCGAGGACTTGCACCTTGGCGATTCAGTTGAGACGTGCTTCGCTGAGTGTTGCCCAAATCTTCTCCAGAATTAGCTCCCCTGTTTGTTTTTTTTGCTGTTTTGGGGTCCCTTTGTTTTCCACTAACCAGGCAAAAAAGAGAGTTTGTTGCTGGGGTCCTAATTCCAGCCTAGAAAAGCTGATATGGCTGTGGTTGTCAAAATCGTTTGGGGATCCCATTTTGGTTGGTAGGTGAATTCACCACCCATTTTAGAACCTTTTTTAGTGGGGATTGGGATGTTCACTGGGGGTACGGGATTTTAACCCACGGCCATATACCCAGCCGCTATATTTGCTCCCTGGTTTAACGGGTAAAAGTCCCGTTTGTTTGCCCCGGGGGGTGTCTTTGGTGACGGGGAACATGAAATTATGGACAATGTGAAGGGATACTGAATGAGTTAATTGGTTATGATCAGGACTTACTTTGGTGTTGAAGTACTCCCCCCACATCCCCCAAAAAGAAAAGTTTCAACCCCTTTTCTTAGTTTCCTGGTATGGACCATAATCTGAAAATACCCCTGTCTGGTGCACCCAGCTGAGTCAATGCAAGCAGGACATCCGATTCGTCACTCCAAAACGCGACTCCGTGTTTTTGTTGTGCAATGAGATCCAGAAAAAAGCTTTGGGTTGCCTCCAGGCGGTTTTTTTCTAATATGGGGCATATGTTGTTTTTTGAGGGTGGGAATCCGAAAGAAAAGCCCACCAACTTTTTTGGGGGGGACCCCTAAAATCATATTTCGTGAGCAGAATCTGCGCGTGCGAGGTTTTCTGTGTACCCTTTTTTGGGCCAAGACCGAAACACGGACGCATAGCGATCCAGTTTGATTTTTCGCGGTTGCCATCAGGCAACGCCCCGAGAGTCATGAACCATGTACTCGGATGGGCAAAGAAGAACTTGCGCCTCGGGTGTGTGTGTGTGTGTGTGTGTGTGTGTGTGTGTGTGTGTGCGTTTTTTTCTGACTCCCTGGGTCCCTGAGTTCCTGAACTCTAACCCGGTTTGGGTTTGGGCCATGTAGGTGGCAAGCCAGAAGTTGCTCGTCTGGTTTCCTTTTTGTAGCCAATCCACCCAGGGAGTGAGTGTTTGAGGATGGTTTGGCTACTTTGACGTAAACCCCGCCTATCCGGTGTGCAGTTGCTGGCTGTACATCAGTCCAATCAGATCGGCTCTAGCAACACAGTGGACCACTACAGAAAGTCCGCTCCGTTTGGGCAACATAGGTGTTTTTGGTTTCCGGTCATGAGCCTTTGAAGGGACTTGGTAGATGGGTTTGTCTTGAATAACCAACAGAATGGTTGGGTCCTTCGCTTCAAACACCGGTTTCGCGGGGGGCTCGGATTTCGGATTTCGGTCTGCCCGCCTTTGTGAGGCATCCCGCAGCCTCGGCCAGGCGAGATGCCCTGTCCGAAAGCCTCAAGTTGTTGTTTTTGTTTTTTTTCCCCGGGGGGGGGGGGGACTTTTCAAGTTGTTGTTCCCTACGGGTCATGCCCCCTCCAATGCACGCCCCCGGACGTTACGGAGAACCCCGACCAATTCCTCGGGGGCCCTTGAAAACAGCCAGTTTTGAGGGCCCAAAAACAATCGTTTTTTTTTTGGGGGGGGGTCCAAAAAAAAAGCAGCGCACAAGCGCATATATAGGATGAGTCAAGACGCAAAAAGCCCCCCCCCCCCAACAAAAAAAAACGGGATCGCACAAGCGCGTAGGATGCCCTTGGCTCCTGCTGCGGAGGTCGGGGTTTGAATTCCTGACATGAAGTCCTCTGGCTGTCTCTTGAGACCTCACGAGTGAGCTTCCATTGTCTGAAACTTACCTCTTAAAAACACAACTGTTCAACTTTTTGGGTAACATGGGCTATATGTCTGTAAAAGATTAACTTCCCCAGGGCTTGGAGTTTTAAGGGGTAAGGAAATGAACATGTGTTAGTTTCCCCTGATGGTTTTAAAGTTGGAATCGATTTCACTGCTGGACATATTTTCCGTTTTTTTTCCAGGGGTCTTAACCAAATTGCAGTGAGCTGAGAGAGCCGGAGATTGGGAGCAGTGATGACTCTTACATGCAATCAAGTTGTTCTTCGTCGAGATGATGTTTTTGGTGCATTTTGCTTTGATATTAGGACTTTAACTTTTTGCCAACTAATGGGGTTTCCATGAAAAACCACTAAAGTTAAACTTTTAGCAGGGGAGCAGAAAGCAACTGAGCATTGAGATGCTTGCGCAACATAAACTTGTTTGGCTAGAGAAAAAACATTGCTATATGGTCCGCTGGGGCTGCTATCTGAGAAAGTTGGGTGGGCAGGGGTGGGTTCATCAGAGCGCGGCTTCAAATTGCTATTCTTGGCGACAGCAAGACACAGCACATCTGCTGCCAGCATTAATTTACCTTTTTCCCTACACCCCAAAAAGGGTAAAACACCCCCCCCTTCTTTGGAGGCGGTGACGAGGCGTTTTCTTTTCAAGCGTCCCGGCCGAAACGGACATTTCTTCGCCGAAGAAAGCCGTGACCAGGGATCCTGACCCCATGATGTTCGCAGCCCAGAGTGAGAGACATGCCAGAGCGCTGGTGGAGTCGAATCCCCACGCTTTTGGGGGAATCGTGTCGGTTTTTTTTTGGAAGCAAAAAAAAAACAGCGTGGCCTGGCCAAGAAAATGGTGATTTGGTTGGATATGTTTGGACTTTAACTTTTTGGGAACATTTGTGGATGCCCGCGAAAAGTGAGCTTGTTATACAGAGGGGTCTCGCCACAATGAATGAAAGATGACATGACCCGTGAAGGGGGTGGCCATTGTGTTGTTTAATTAAGACCTTAAGGTAATTCACCCTCCCTACTGTAAGGGTCTCGATTTTTGGGCCCTCAATGGGTCTCGATGGGTTCTCCATGGGTTCGGGTCCGTGGGCTGAAGGCTTGCCAACTTAAGGTGAGTTCCCTTGCGGGTGCTGTCCAAAGAAGCGCTGATTCCAAAGACTCAAAGACTGGGAGCTCTTCTCCCATCGGTGGGGGAGGCTGAGAAGTGAGTGGCTGGTCCTTTACCCGATTCTTGTTGAAGAGAAACCAAAAGGAAAGCCGTTGCGCCATTTTTGGGGATCCTCTAAAGAAGGACACCCATGCATATGCGCATATAGTCGTGTTTTGCATTTGGTTGCCCTGCCACCGTCCACAATGTGTAGGGACAGCAGCGGTTGTGATTACGAGAGCAAGCCGCAAGCGAGCCGCAAGCTCGTAGATGAAACGTTTCGGGGAACCCAGAAAATACTCACATGGCTGTGGCTCAAAAAACCGGTACCCAAAATGGAACCCTGGTAAGTCGAAACATGGCCCAAAACCTGCAGTTTGCTCTCCTGTTTGATTTTGAGCCACGGCCACATGCAACGACGACGAAAATCGACCGGATCTGACCTTTTGATGATGTTAGTCACTTCTAGTCCAAGATGCGTTTCCACTTTGGGGGGGCACCTTGAGTCCTTTTTGGATTCGGCATGTGCAGTTGTTGCTTTCCCCTTTTGGTTACGTCCACTTTGGATTCCAAAAGGGATAGGAATTGTTCAGGTCCACTTTGGGCAAGTGGGTAAGCCGCTGCTTGAATAATGGGGTGTGCAACCGATACGAAAGGAGCTCCACATTAGTGTTGGGGAGCACCCTGCATGAGCCAGAGCCAGGTCTATGGCAACATGGAGGTTGTTTTTTGTGTTCAATCCTTTGCACGGATGATGAGCATTGGGGGAACTGTTACCGCTAAACCACGATGTTTCCCACATGGGAACAGTTTACCATGGTCCTGGCGGGGGGCCGAAGGGAATATTGATCCACCTGCACACATCTTTGGTGCATGTTGGTAAGGGATGATAGGACTGAATATTTTTTTGCCAACTAATGGGTTTTCCGTATTAAACCACTAAAAGTCAGTCACTTTTGGCAGGGCTTAGCAGATCTCGCAACCGAGACATCCTATGCTCAGTAACAAGTGTCGGTTCAGCAAGAGACCTCAGGACACCAGCCGTTGTGTTTGGTCTCTCGAGTTTGGACCAAAGCCACAGGGCTGTGGGTCAAACATGGGTGCCGAAAATGACTGGAACCCTGGTAAATGGAACAAAGGACTAAAACCTGCTGTCCAATTCCTTGTGGTTTAATTTTTGACCCGTACCCACAGATCAGAATTGAGCTGGTTTCCTGCTTTGGTATCCTGATTGTCGGGTCCCTGGGCCGAAAGTGATAAACCGAACCGGGGCGTTAGGAGAGCAAGTCCTGCGTGTGATCCACCCGATCGATCTCCAGAGCACACATTTCTGAGGTCCATTGATTTTCACCCAAAGCCTGACATCAGTGCAGGCCTCAGCTCACGGAAGGTGGAGTTCAGGCATTGAGGATGTTTGCACAAGTTATGGGAAAGTAAAACGAGCTCACCATGATGTAGGTGCTTGACTTGGGAATCCCTTACCTTAGGTTTTGGAATTATTGTAGAATGTGCAGCAAAACAAATCCACAGCCGGCGGCTGTTTATGACCCCCTGTCTTTGTGGTCTGAGAAGAGTCGATACCCTGCCATGAGTTTTCAGATTTGGAAGCCTGGTCGCGCCTGCCCAGCTTTCTGGTAGTTGGGGTGGCCGTTTTCCGGCGAGTCGGGCTAGCTTCAACGGCTGCCTTTGTCCTGGCGGTCTCGCAAGGGGCCAGGCGAAACTCGCGTAACACAGGGCTCCGAGAAAAAAATATGCAACCAATTGAAACATGTTGCTGTGTCAACACCAAAGCAAAGTTGGAAACCACCATAAAATTTTACAAGTTGCAATGTTCCCCCGAGTTGGTCAAAAGCGAAACTTAGTCATGTAGCCAACGGTTCCGGCGGCGCATTCCTACCTTATTGCAAGTAAACCAAGCATACAAAGAAAACACAATTTCGTGGTCAATTACGGGTAAACTCCATGCTTTCCGAGTCTTCCCTTGTTTGCCATATCCGGGCCCGGTTTACCCCAGCTTCACTGAGATGAGTCGCTGCGACGGGATGCGCCGCAAGCTCAGGGCTGCGACGGGATTTCCGAGCGGATGTTCACCCCAGCGGTTTGTTTGGGTGGGCAACCCATTTCCCCCCCCCCCCCCCCGGTTTGGGGCGTTTCAAAGATCAGAATTTCCAGTGAAGGGCTTCTTTCAATGATGATCTCCCTGATGGAGCAAACCCCGAAATCTGTGGCTTCGATGAGTGCTGATTTCTCCCTGTAGATGGAGCAAACCCCCACCAAGTCCCGGGGGTTCCGGGCTTCCCTCTGAAAAGTTGCCAGGCAAAAAAATGCGCCGAACTCCACAGGAAAAGGATCAAATTGTTCGATCCGTCGAGCCGATGAACGGAGGCCAAAGGGAGCCATGGACATGCTCCATGTCCGATTTCTTGAAAGCACTGGGCTGATGTCCATGGAAAATGTTCACAAACGAAATTGAAAGAGGTTCCTAGTTTTCACGCTTGTTGGTTGGGTTTGAAGGAAATCAAAAGGAACACCACCGTTGTTGATTGGGGACGGGGGGCGCAGGTTTCACACACAGTAGGTTGCCAAAATGGTTTGCAATGGTGGGTCGCCAAGGCTTCAAGTGCAAATCAGCGACGCATCAAAGCCAGACCTCGCTTCGCCTTCCATTCGACCCACAAAAGGAGCGCAGCCAAGGATTGATTCCGGATGATGGTTTGCCGAATTTTGTTCTGAGAAGCAGCTGTTTCTGCTGTTTTGGTTGATGAATTGTCTGAAGAAAAGGCTCCCTTACGAATTGGGAAGTCGGAAGTCGGCGATCGAAACCATGTGCAGGGGTCGTCTGATTTTGACCGCCGCCGCGGCGGAATTCCGCGGAATCTGGACAAACCAGAACAAGTTGAGGAGAGAACAAGCTCACCCAAGAAGGTTTCTTTACTGAGGCTGGCCTGTGTTTTCAGATTGGCATTTGGTTTTGATTTGCCAGTACCACGGAAGAGACAAAGATTTAGCATGATCAAGCGCAAGATTCATGTCGGCATCTCCCCAATAAGCCCACAGGGAGAGTTCTAGCAGAGCTAACCGACTTGATGAACTCACCTGGTAACAACAGCACACAAGCTCGATGTTGAAGGGATCCGTCCAACCGTCAGGGTTGCCCTCTCACCCCCTCCTTGAGGAACGCGATCTGCCAGGAACCCGCGGTCAGGTTTCAAAGTGTGTGGGAGACGACTGGTTGCAACACGTTGCAACCAAAGACCACAACCACCAAAACGAACGCGCCCAGAACCCAAATCGAGAATAAACAACTAGCACCCCCCCAAAAAAAGAAAACAAAAAAAAAAACAATTCATGAACAAATAGCATACATCAAATGAAATGCAAAGAAAGACGCAAGCCCATCTCCGCTGCATGTCCAGATAGCGAGGTTTACCCCGGGCGGTGGGAGCATCGAGGACCCTCAGCCCGGGAGCCAAGATTTGCCGGCTTCGGTTGCGGGGTCGGCTTCGGTTTTGTCAACGAGGGAAGGGTGATTGTCAGGAACGCGGGGGTTTTGGATCTTGCATGGTTGTTGTTGGGAAACATTTTGCATTTTTGCTTATTGTGGTTTGGTGGGAAATCCCCACTTAACTGATAGAATTTATTTTTGTTGCTCTCCTTGCAACGTCAACCAAGCTTAGGACTTGAACCTGTTGGTGGAAATCATTTGGCCAAGGGTCAAACGCCCGTACTCCCAGTGAACATCCCAATCCCCACTAAAATCGACTAAAATGGGTGGTGCACCTACCCCAGAATGGTACCATGGGTTTTGACCCATACCCATTTGGGTTTTCCGAATTGAAATCATTAAAGGTGAAACTTTTTGGAGCGGGGTCAACAGCGACCAAGAAAAGCTTCCATTTGCGTTTCAGAATATGTGCGCTTCGCTTCCCCTGGTGAGAAAGGAATCGATTTCGCTACTGGACATATTCTCTCATTTTATGGGGACAAAAACACACATGGGGGTAAAGGAACGGGTTTTTTTCCAGACTAGGTCCCCCAGTAGTGCCTTTTTTGGGGGAGGGTTCCCCTACTAAAATAGACTACATAAAAAAACAAGTACCCTTATTCTAACCTCTCTATTGGAGGACCTAGAAGAGGTACTGCAGATGGACTGAACATCCACTTGGCACCAGCGGCCGGTTTTTTTCCCCCCCAGCTGGTGCAGGATGTCGTCCATCCACAGTAGTTCGCTTGCCTTAGCCGAATGTATGGGCCGGACTAATGAGTAGAGGTTTGGGGTGCGTTAAAACCAAATCTTTGGTCTTTGGATGTTAGAACTTTAACTGTTTGCCAAGTAACGGGTTTTTTGCATTAAACCACTAAAAGTTAAACTTTTAGCAGGGGAGAGGAAAGCAATCGTAAATCATGCCTGGATCATAGGACCCTTTATATGTTTAATTCTTCAATGGCCCCTGCCCGTGCGCCAGGGTGAAAGTAGATGGCTCAATTCCCGGTAGACGTGGGCAAGTAAAGGGAATGATTAAACCGAAATAGGGGGGGAGGGGTGCCATTTACTTGAAGTATCAATCAGGTGTCTTTTGTTGAGGGCACCCTTTGTGGGTGGGTTTTGTTTGCTTGCCGTTTCGGCGTTCCTTCAAATTGTCCGTTTCGATCAGCAACAGTGGGACCTTTCTTGGGGGGAGTCCACTCGTAGCACAATTGCATGTCCATGCCTTTTGGTAGGTTGCCCATTTCCCCTAGGAAATGATTTCTTGCTAGGGGGTCATCCAGCAAATATTTTTGCGCCCAAAGCCCCGGGTAATTAGCAATCTACACAAGCTTGCCGGTTCTGCGAGCTAACTTTGTGGAGAATATTGCTACCTAGAGTCTCCATGACCCCTGGAAAAAGGGGTCATGACCCCTTAATTTTGCGGGCAATGACCCCATTTTTTGTTAAGGGTCAGAAGCAGACTCCAATTGCTACAACCCTACACCCCCCTCTTCGGAGGGATTCTACACTTTCAGGGATCCGATTGCTTGATGGTTCCCAGCGGTCAGCATAGATGTCTTGAGTCAAATTGAATATTTGCCCGATTTGGGGCGTTCCTTTTCCGGCTGAGTGCTTTCTGTTTATAGGATTCTTGTTTACAGGGTTCTTTACATGCCCCACCGCACGGCAGTTCAAATTGCCAAACAAGGAAGAAATCCAACCAAGGGGGAGCCTTTTGTTTCCTGTCAAGCACCAACCAACTTCGCAGGGACATGGTTCTGATCTGCGCCCATACATTGCCGCTGTGTCCCCTGTGCGATATAGTCAGACTGGGGGTACAGATACCGTGATTTCTGAGTCAAAACGGCTCGGGCCGCAAGATGACAAGAAAATCGGATGTCACGCCCACCACAACTCGTAGCTGTGGTCTGTTCTTTGTTCAGGCACAAGGGAGGCCCATGTTCCCGCCATTTGAAGGCCCCCAAGCTTTGCCAAACCCGCTATAGGCAGCTTGGTTGGGTCCTTCCCCTTTTTCAGGGCGGCCCGTTTTCACGGGTTTTGTTCTCACTTGCACCAAAGAACAATGTGAGCCTTCGAAGGAACCCATTTGGGTGTCGGTGTGGGTCTTTTTTTGAGGCTCGGCACCCCTTTGTTCGTAAAAAGGAAAGCCAAAAGGAAGATCTCCAATTTGGAGAGTCCCCTAAAAGTTCAGCCACCCATTTGTTTGGACATTGATTGACTGTTGGTTGGTGAGCTGTTGGGCTGTTGGGCTGTTGGGTTGTGGGGTTGTTTGGCTGCTGGGCTGTTGGGTTGTTGGGCTGTTGCTGCTGGTTGTTCTGTTGGGCTGTTGGGTTTGGGCTGTTCAACGAATCGTGTTGGCCAACTTTCAGAGCGGCGTTTCCTGGAAGTGTTCCGCCAATCCACCAGCTCGGGGGTACGAGCGAACACTCTTGATGTAGACTCTTTACTTGGGGATCAAGTTTGAAATGATTGGGTCAACGGGGGGAGGGGATTTAGTTGCTTCGTTTTTGTTGGTTCATGTTTAGCCGTGGACTGCAGAAAAAAAGAAGAAGAAACAAAAGCAACAAAACAAGAAGCAAAACAAACAAAAAAACGGCGTTTTGCGCTAGCAAGTGTGGGGTTTTTCGGGTTTGCCGAGCGCTCCGCGTTCCCAGGCTGAGCTTCGGCATTCCTGGCCAAGACCCTACCGGCGAGCCACTGGGCTCAGACGAGCCGGTCGTATTCCATGAGGGGCTTAGACAAATGTTTGGTTCAGTTGTTCAGTGGCTCCCTTTTTCCTTTTTTTTTGGTGGCTGCCCCACTAAAATGGTCTTCCCACAAAAAGGGTTCCCTTTTTTTCCAGGGTCACTGAACAACTGAGTTGGGGACGCCAACGGAAGATCGGACCAGACCCAATTTGGAGAACTAAGGCCATTTTACAAGACAAATTGCCTTCGTTTTTCGAGTAGCTGGGACTTGTTACTTGTTTCAAAGACCATTTTATGGTAGGCGAAAAGTTTGGATTGCTTCTGACCAATCCACTCAGGAAGCGAGTTACTTTCTGGCTGTTTGGTTGGATCCTTGGACTTTAACGGACAACCAGACCCATTTGACTTGACCTGGCTTCCTTCTGACCAGACTACCCAAACGAAAGATTCGGGTCATCAGCAACCATGTTTCAAGGCTCATGGAGACTCTAGGTATGGCGATTTGGCAACGGATCCTTGGACTTTCACGGCTGAAACCGCTGGGATTGTTCGAATAGCCGCAAAAGCTGTTTGCAGAGTGGTCAACAGCCACCAAGGTTTGAGGTTCCCTAATTCTGAGACAAACAACGTTCTTTTTCGGATGGCTGTCTTTCGTACTTACCTAGACCTCCAGTTGGCATGTCTAGGACCCGAGACATGTTTTTCAGCGAATAGGGAAGAGATTGAGGTCCTTCTGCACCAGTTGGTGGTTCATCCCAGTTTTCATAGGGCTTCATCCATCCCCGGTGCAGCATTTTGTCCACCGCGGGTTGTTTGGTTGAACGCCAACAAAGTGTGCAACTTGATTTGGGAGGGGGAACTCCTTTAGATTTCTACCTGGAGTCTCCTTCTGACCCGAAAAAAAAAATGGTCCATTACCAACCATTATTTTGGGGCATGGACCCACCATTTTTGATTCGGGTCAGAAGGAGACTCTAGGGGTTGATTCCTTGGCCCCATTCGGTTCAGCCATGGGTTCTTTTTTCAACAACCAGCCCGGTTTCCCCGGCTTTCTCTGCCGGTTTCCCTGGCCTTTCTGAAGGTTCCGCCAGAAGGATCCCCGGAAATGGAAATGGAAATGGAAATGGAAGGTGCCATTGGAAGATTTTCGGTTTTTGTCAAACTCGAAAGGGTGGCTTGTTGGCTTTTTTTCCCCTGACTGGAGGTGTTGGGGTTCCGGCAACCCCACCTTTTGGGCCAACGAAATCAGCTTTTGAGGAGGTCAGAGAGCTTCGAACGCTTTCTTCCAAGCGATATGGAAGAGCAAGTCAAAGAATCGCCAAGCGATTTGTAGTGTGGAACCAGAAGTAGGTTGGCGAACATGTCTTCGAGTCTTCGAGGGAACGACGCCGAAACAGACTGCCCGAACATCAGCTTGTTGTGAATCTCTTCCATCTGCTTAAGATGTTTTTAATTTTCCCTTGTTGGTGTTAAAGGGATTCTATCACTACTGGACATATGTTTTCCAGGGGTCTTAACCAAATGGAAAAGCTGTTTTCTGCTTTAGCCCTTCGGCAGGCACCAACCGTCATTCGAGCCACAATCAAAACCCGGGTAGATGAACGTTAGTAAGGGATACTCCCAACCACAAATAGCTGCGGCCGCCTTCTTAATTCTTTACATGATTCTGGGTCGACCATCTTTGTACCGGGTTTGATTGTGACTCATTTGGCCTAAAATAAGCCTCATTTTGCTCCTTAAGCCACGAATATCTCGGGGCACCTTCCCCATTCTCTATCCAGGAATCCTTCTTCTTGCGGCCAGTTTTTGAAAAGCACAAGGACCCCTCCATTAGACACCCCGGAGGTGTTTGGGGGTCTCAAAACCTGGCTGTTTGAGGGCCCTAAATGCATCGGGAGCCTCTGGGATAGAACCAAGCCCAGGGTGTTTTGGGCGGTCTTGGGGCGGTTTGTGTCCGGAGTTGATGCTCCATCTTGAAAGCGCCTAGGTCTCTGAAGTCGATGAGCATGAACGATTCGTTCACCAACTTCATCAAGAAGGCCTCGCCCGTAGAATCCACGTGAGCTACGGAACGCGGTCTAGATTTCCCCACACAAAACCAAGAGCCCGAGTTTCCCATCTGCTGTGGGTTGAAACATGAGACCTGGCTCACGGAAGAAGAAAAAAGGCAAACGCTTTTTGAGGAGTCGGGTTTTTGGCTCGAGCGCTGTGTTGAAACATGACCCCTGTGCTTGAAACGCAGCACCTGTGTCCCCTCACGAGTCGCATTTGAGCGGCGGGCCTCCCGCCATGAGCTCGTGACACCTGGGTTTTCTCTGCCTGGTCGACTGAGGGAATTTAGACCAGGAGAGTTCGGCTCAGCAAGCACCATGTCACACTGTTAGGACTTTAAACTTTTTGCCAACTCATGGGTTTTCCTTAAACCACCAAAAGTTAAACTGTTAGCAGGGGAGCAGAAAGCAACCGAGATGTACTGAGGTTGAAAAAGTGGACAACTTGGTTGGGGTGAAAGAGCTGAAAGAGCTGAAAGGCGCAGTCTTTCAGTTTTTGGTGGCAGTGTTGTCTGGTTTGATTCGGCAAAACAACTGCGTCACAAGCTCGTGATCAGGAAGCTGGTGTCTGGGTGTGTGTTTCCCCTATGTTGACACATACCAATTTCGTTCCCAAACGTAAAGGGTGTGATTTGACCTGTTTGACCCTCCATGGTTGAGCCGAATCCGGTGCCGTGAGGACTGGAACATGGAGGACCGAACTCCGAGTTCGAGCATGGGCCGGGCGCGGTACAACTTATGGTTTGGGAGCTGACGAAACTGGTGCAACCCCAGCGAACAGTACCTAGACTCTCCATGACCCCGAAAAGTTAGGCTCGTTGCCCAAAATTGAGGACCACTTTTCTAGGGGTCATGGAGACTCTAGGTAAAGTAGGTACCCTGATGCGTGTCCATAGAAACCTCTTACGAGGTTCGACTATATGTGGTCCCAGGTTCCGCGCTTAAGCGGCTTAGCAACTCTAAAAACAGCCCCATTTTGGGGATTCGCGAACATGGCGGTGGGTTTTGCGCACTAGGACAAGTACTTCCCCAGCTCGCCGGGTGCTCAGTCGGAACGAGAAGCCTGGATTGGCCTTCGCTTGCAATGGATGGCCCATGCATGGTTGTTGTTGGGAAGCATTTTACACTTTTGCTTATTGTGGTTTAGTGGGAAATCCAAACCACCCGAAACCAACCTTGAACCAACTCTAGATCCACACTACACCAGCACTACGTCATTTCTAAACCAGCCTAAGCCAACCCGAAACCCACCACAAACCCACGTAAACCCGACCCATAAGCCCACCCCAAACCAGCACTAAACCAACCATAAACCAACCAAAGGCCAACCTAAACCATAGGCCAACCTAAACCAACCAAAAACCCACCCTAAAGAAACCCAAGCCCGGCCCAAGCCCCGAACGAAGTCTAATGGCTTCGAACAGGTGAGCCCTTCGCAGCTTTTCGGGAGTCGGGACCGCCCGGGCCGAACCCAGGAAAAAAGGCCGCGCCGAACCTAGGAGAACAAAAAGTCCCCTTTGCCAAGATGTATCGGACTCATTGGCTATTGCCCACTTCGTTTCCAGTACCTGGAGTCTCCATGACCCTGCAAAAAAATGGTTGGTCATTGCCCCAAAGAAAGATTCGGGTCATGACCATAGGCGTCCTTTTTGGTTGTTTTGGTAAAAAAAAATAGGTGGTCCTGGTTTACCAGGTGGTTTCCTCATCTACCAGGGCCATCTATTTCCCCCAACAGCACACCTATGGTCATGACCCGAAGCCTTACAGGGTCAGAAGGAGACCGCAGGCAGCCCCTCCCGTCGAAAAAAGACGACACAAAGTGAGGTCCTACGACCGAGACAGCGCGCATCATGAATCCATCTCCGGGTCTGCGGCTCAGAGGGTTGCGAAACCTCCAATACATGGCTGTTGTTGGGAAAGATTTTGCATTTTTTCTTATTGTGGTTTAGGGGGAAATCCCCACTTAACTTCTAAATTTTGAAATATTTGCTCCCCTTCCAACGTCAACCAAGTTTAGACCTGCGGCGTGGTGTTCATGATTTTGCGTTTCTCAACTCTCAGGGGCTCTACTTGGCTTTGACCTCCAAGTGTCGTCGCGTTCTTGTGATGTGTTATTTTTCTCACTCTCTGAGTTCCTGGACGTTAAAAACTTGCTGGGAAGAGAAGTTTAGTGGTAAATAGAGGTGTTGGACACCTTTTTTGGCCAAACCGCTCACAAAGTGAGATTTTCTGTCAAATCAAGTATCTACAGAAGAGAGCATGTTTTTGCCCTTGGTCATGTCTTTTTTGAGGGTACTCAATTTCGGAGGTTGGTTTTGAAGAGAACCTGACCGGTTTTTCACTTTTGGGGTCCACACATTTTGGTACATCCTCACGTGGGTCATGTTCGTACCTGGTTTGGGAAGTGGTTCGAGCTGGCATGGCTACAACCTGTGGCAAGGCCATGGTTGTAATTCCCCATTCTACTGGCTAGCCAACAGCCTTTTTCCCTTGCTCAGGGGCATCTGGAGCCTTCATGAGCGTTCACCAGGATGCAGCAGTTGAATTTGGCTAGGCATTTGGTAAAGTCCCAGACCATCTAAGTACCAACCCCCATCAGACCGTTGAAGATAGTAGCTCACTTCCCCATTTGCTGAACTTGCAACTTTGGAGGAAGACCGTTTCACTGAGAAATATGCACACTTGTTGTCTTAACATATCCACTCAAGCAGTAAGATCAGCCGGGAATCAAGTCGCCAAGAAAGGCCTTAGCAGTTCGGGTTTTGAGGGATGGTTTGCCGCCGCCGTTTATCCCTCAGCAAAGCTTAGGGCCAATCTTGTAGCCTTGGTAGCCCTGTGGTCCGATGAGGGTAGGGTCCCTGAGTTATGAATGCTGGATAGGGATGAGTTTCTTCAGTGGATTCTCCCCTCTGCGTATTCTTTGGTGAAGCTGAACTGGACATTGAATGGTTCAATAGTTGAGGGCACAGAAATCCTTGCCCCCCACCGCAATTTGTGGTTTATTTATTTATTTATTTATTCATTGTGTGTTTGTTTTTTGTTTTTTTTTGTTTTTTTTGCCGGTTGGTATCTCTCGGTAGATGGGAATGATTTCTTTGCGGCCACCCTGTTTGCCATTTGTCCTTCGAGGAACCCCCATGGGAGACCGGGCCTCGGGATCCCCAATTTGAAGTGCACTGGTCCACTTTTGTGTTGCTCGGATCGGCCAAACTGGACAAAGATCGAATGTCGGGCCATGTCGGGCCCATGCCTCAGGCTGAAGAACTCGAACTCTCGAATGGCCCCGTTTCAGTTTTAGCGCAGAATTGCCCCCGGCTGAAAGCGTTTTGGGGTCGATAGATGCCCAGATAGCCTCGTTCGAGGGGGTTTGGGCCAGCTTTTACGGAGTTCAGGTGCCAGATACCGCCTGGTCTAATTTCTCAATTTTGGACAATTGTGTGGTGATCCCATGTGTCTGAAATCCCTCCCCTCCCCCCCCAAATCGTTGAGGCCTTGTTTGGCCCTCCTTTGTCGCCTGAAAAAGCGCCTTATTCACCCCTTGGTCTAGCAATTTTCTGTGGGGCCCCCGAACGTACGGCGTGTTTCTAGCAGACTTTGAGTGACACATCAGGCTGAAGACACGATGAAACCACTGATGCCAGGTGGAAAGACCCTCGCACTCCCAGATCGTTCCTGGACTTGAGCAACTTCTTGGGTTTCTTCCATTTGGTGAAGAATATTTCATATGTTTCCCTGTTGGTTTTTTAAAGGGAATCGATTTCACTCCTGGACATATCTTGGTCATTTTTGTCCAGGGGACCAAAACGCAAATGGATGGTTTGCTGGTCATTTTTACCAGAAGTTCCAGGACTCTCAGCCAGCCCACTCTTTCAGAAGTGAGCCCTCAGTCGCCCTGGGCGTCCATTTGCTGAAATGAGTATTGTTTTGTTTTTTCCCCGCGCGGTGGCTTTTTTTTCAAGGCAAGCTATTTTATGGCCTGCTGGAAATATTTTATGTATTTGTTGTCCAGGGGGCGAAAAAAGCAAAGGAAGTGGAGGTGGGTGGGGGTCAAAACTTGGTACCCGAAAATGGACCCCTGGTAAATGAACTAAAAGCTGCGGTCCATATCCAGGTTTTTAATTTTGACCCACACCCAGTCTCTGAAATCTGTGCTCGGCCCAGGAGTCCGATTCCAGAGCTTCCCAGTGTTCGACAGGCGGATTTCGCTTCGGTCAGAGGTTCCCGCCTTGCGAGCAACGAAAACGGAGGGCTCCCTTTCTGAGGGCAGCTAGGTCCCCCAGCTAGGTGCCTCTTTTTAATCCCTTTTTTGGTTGGGAGGGTTTTCCCCTACTAAAATAGACTACAGCAAAAAGTTGGCACCCTGATTCTAACCTCACTACTGGAGGACCTCGGCAACCTGTTTTGAGGGCGACTTTTTTGGAGAGCACCCGATTTCTTTTGGTGGGTTTGAAAGGGAAAGGAAGGGGAAACTACAATTTTTGGGAGTTGCCTCTTTCGCTGTTCCTAAACCTCCATTTGGTGAAGAAAAATGGTTATTGCCCCCTGTTGGTTTGAAGGAAATCTATCGAGACCGGACATATTCATATGTTTGTCAGGGGACTTAGGCAGTCACCTGGGTGCATGGAACCAGAGACCAAGACCTGCGTAACCCTACCTCTTAAATTTTGAGCCACACCCTTGAATCTGGTAGATGGTGTTTCCCAATATGTTCTGACCGTATCACGCTCAGGTGCTGTAGGCTTTTTGCTATCAGACATTTGCCGAGATGGCTTCCCCCTAGAGCGGAATTCCCGGTTCTTTGTTTGGCTTGCTCTCAAGAAGCTCGGTTAGTTGGATTAGAAATAGATGCTGGGCTTAGACTGGCATCAACCATTTATCAGGGACAGCCATCGATTAAGAGCTCACCTATGCGAATGAGGTGGTTGCCAAATTTGTTTTTCCCCGCCGAAAGAGCCATCAGAAGCCCAGCGAGTTTTTGTCAGCCCGGCCGCGGAAAGAGTCTTGCCCGGATAGGCAAGGTAAATAGCGTACCCCTCAGGACGCCAAAAAGCAATAGGTGTGTTTTGTTTTTTTTTTGCTTGGTTTGGTCATTGGATTTCCGAATTTAACCCACGAGTCAAAACGTTTCGCAGATCTGAGGATGGACCAGACAAAATGCGGTTTCGTGTTATGCCAACCCTTAAACTTGCTGGTGCGATAGGTAGGGAATGAGGAATGAACGTGCAGACTTGCGCAGAGGAAACCATAGGGGATGGCGTTTTTTGGGGTCACACCCTCATTTCCTGAGGACCAAGTAAAGGCAAGTTGAATATCGTGGAACCCCTGAGTGGCTCCAAAACTCGAAGCGAAAACCCAGCAAAAAGAGGAGCAGAGGACCTTCACGGTTCCTTGTTTTCCAAAACTCCAACATGTAGTCCAGCTTCCCCAAACTCGCTGGTGTCCTTTTCTTTTTGAACGAACCCAAAAAAAGGGGACCCTGAAAGAGACACACGCGCAGAGACAGCTCGAGCAGACTCCTTAAGAGTATTTTGGCCGTATACTAGATGCGACCATCTCCAGCACCCAAAACCTATTGTCTTGTGAATCTTATTGCTGCAATCTTCATGAATTTAGGTGAAAGCTGGACTCCGGACATGTTGGAGTTTTGGAAAAGGACCGAAAGGCAAGGAGACTTGACAAGTGGGGCAGTTTTGCAAGAGAAACCCACCCCTGTTCCGGTTTTGAGACATACCTAGAGTCTCCATGACCCCTAGAAAATGTGGTCATGACCCCTTATTTTTTATCAATGACCCCATTTTTTAAGGGTCATGGAGAGTCTAGGTACCCATATACTTTTCGATCACGTTGTGGCGATTGCTCCGAAAGGGATGTGTCAAATCTTGCTGTCAAGCTGCAAGGTGCATGGGAGGGATCGAGTAACATTTGCATATAGGATCCCTGGAAGGGAGGGAGCCAGATGCGTGATTCTTGATAGTTTAGAATCCTTTTTGCTCGGATTGACTTCGAAAACATGGGCAGCCTTGTCGGTGCTTCCTAGAGGTCAGCAAAGATGTTCGGCACTTGTGCTTGGCGGCACTTGTGCTTGGCCCAAATTTGAACCCACAATCGGAACCCATTTGGTGCAACAAGTGATTGTTTTTTTGGTACAACTGAACCCTGGTCACGTAAGCCCAAACGAAGGTTGAGCAGTTGAGCCTGGTTTTAACCTGAATTGACGGTGAACCCGGTAAACCCGGTCATCGCAAAGCCAGGTGCCCGTCTCCAAATCGAGGGCCGAGGCGAGAGTTGGAAAAAGCAGTTGGGATGGTAAATTCTGGTAGAGATTGTGGACAGCTGCTATTGAGTTCTATGCCTCACTCCCTGTTCCTGGACTTGAAACTTTACCTTTTTAGCGGCAAACAGCTTGGAAATGTTTGGAGTGGTTTTGGACAATCCACACGGGAAGTGAGACTAGGGAAGCCACGACCATGACCCATTTTTCACCCCTCACGATGGTTTTAGAGACGGAAAGCGCCGGGGAAGTGCCAACTTGATTTCTGAGATCCTCTTTATTCAGCTTTCTCTGGGGTTTGCGGTTTGGATGTGGATTTGAGCTTTTGGTTCTTGTAGAGGGTAATTAAATGGGACACCCCCCCCGGAACAGCTATGAGGGAAGCTGACGTATGTCAAATTTGATGTCAGCCGATGGTTCCTGACTGCCCTTGCCCAAACCCAACCGGTGCGACCATTCCCCTCCCTCGGATTGAATGCGATGTCACGAGGCCAAGGTCTCTAAGATGGAACCGTAACACGCCAAGCACCCCACAAGAAAAAAAAGGAAACTACCGCAAATGTGGCAAAAATAGGTTCCCCTGCTTGCAATATGTAGGGTCTCCGTATCTATGTCCGTTTCTCTATAATCTACCTTTCCAGAGCTTGTGCCGGTTACTTGGGAGATTTCCAGGTTCTCAACTTTGGTGCATCTTGCCAAGGTATGTTAGGACTTCATTTTTTTGCCAACTACTGGGTTTTCCGTATTAAGCCCCTAACAGTTAGTCACTTTTAGGGCTTCGCACAAAGCAACCGAGAGAACCTATTTCCAGGATTTCCTCCAAATTCGCAACCACAAATTCAAAAAGCCGGAAACAAAAAGCCACGGGGGCGTTGGGCTTGGAGAACCAACTTGGGGACCCATCCCCAAAAACTCGAAACCCCTCTCCAAGCGGCGACGCGCTCAGCCAGGCGCGAAACGAATGCGCAACGATGTGAGTCGAGTCCATGGCTCGGTGGCTCGGAGCAGCTCGGAGCAGCTCGGAGCCCGGCTCGGTCCCCCAGCAATTGGTGCCCTTCTCCTAACCCTTTTTGTTGGGAGATTCGGTTCGGGACCCGGCTAAAATGCAGAAAAAATGGTGCCAACTTATGCTAACCTCTCAAATCTGGAGGACCTAGCCATATTTCTTCCCCTTTTTTCGGCGGGTAAGGGGTGCAAGGGCCACTGAACTAGGCAACTGGGAGTCGAGCAGGGGGTTTGCAAGGCGCGCATTGGAACCACTCCGCGAAATTCGAGACAACTCCCCATGAGAATTGAACCACGGGGTCTCATCCAAGTTGACTCCTTTGCAGACGGGGTGGAAGACATGATGCCCTGCCAAAGGCAAGAAAGCACGGTGTGAATGTGTAAACAATCCATGTCATGTCAACGGGAAGCCAACATGAAGCCAACCTCGCGGAGGGTTCCCTTGTAGTTTCATCAATTTCATGTTTTTCCCGCAATGATTAATATCTTTGATTAGGATGGCTGAACAATATCATGAATAGTGACATGCGTGGTAGCATTGTGGTACCGCTTGAGTCTTCGTTGAATCTGGACAAACCTACTGTGGATGGACGGAATTCTGCACCACGTTGAAACCATGGAGAACCATTGCTCGTTGGCACTTACAGGGGAATCATCCTTTCAGGGTTTGTTAGGTGGTGCGAAACGGATTTCGTCCAACAGTATGAGCTGCCATTCTGGGTTGGTGGCAGAAGCTGAGGCAGCAACCCTCTTGGTGAACCATGCCAAGTTCCCCACAGAGGCGCTGCATGGGACTTTTAGCTGCAACTTCTTAGCGAAGCCTGGAAGATGGCCTTTCAACCAGCGAGAGAGCGTGCCTCAAGGGCGCGCGCAAGCCGCATTTTAAGACTGGATGAACGTTAAAAAAACAAAAACAACGGATCTTGAAAGCATGGGATGAACAAAAAACACAAATTTATCGACAACAAAACACACTTTTTCATCATTTTCGGTGTTGCTTCCCCCTTCGCCTTCCCCTTAGTGGGCCCCGTGATTCCCTCCTCCCCCCAGGAAAAATCCTGGCATCCGAACGGTAAATCCTCTGCGCATTCTTTACTATTGTTGTTTAAACAATTATCGACCTAATGGGATGTGTTTTTTGTTTATGTGATTTGCGCTATTCGTGTGGATGATGTTGTTTTTGGAATTGCTTTAACTATATTGTTTATGTAATTATGGTTTGGATAGAAATTATATTTTATATATTGTAAAATTAAAATTAAAGTATTATGATATATAGATTGAATTGATTAATATATGAAATATAATCTGAAATTTAAATTGTAGAATTATTAAAAATATATTATTTATATTTTGAATATTTTAGAATTCAGTTAATTTAATATATTTTATATTATTGAATTATGGAATATTTTAATGGAGGGTTGTTTATAAAGGATTTTTGAGGAGGTGTGTGTATGTATGTTTTGTTGGTTATATTATATAGGTTTATTAAATCGGTGGAAATTATACATTTTGTAATTGATTTTATGAAAAATTTAGATAATAATAAGATTTGAGATTTACGATTGAATTCGGATAGTTGGGGTAAGATATGAATTGATATATTATAATAAATTAATTAGATTATTGTTGATTTTGAACTGATTGAATGAACATTATTGTAATGAATAGATATAACTAACACAAATAATAATATTGTTAAAAAGATGATGATTTATTTTTTTATATTTATATTTATGTTATAGGAAATACTAAATTATAATCGAATGTATATTGGTAGAGCAAATGAGAAATATATTTTTAATTTGAATTCTATTAAATCGGATTTTATTTATAAAATTCAATAAATATTGAGATATATTGGGAAACATATATATATATATATTAATTAGAAATATATATTTGAAATAATATATATTATAACAATATTTATTAAAAATAATTTATTTTAATGTATTATATATTTTTGAATTATAATATAATTTAATATATTTATTTTAATATAACAATATAAATTATATTTAATTATTATATTTTAAAATTCTAAATTATTAACATTTAAATAATTATAAAGATTTAATTAAAATTTCGACAAACATTAATTTGTATATATGGTGGTTGATCTAAATTCCTTTGTCTCGAAACGGTTATTCTTCGCGAACAAAAAAATTATTTTCGCGAATCTTTCGCGGATTCATCGCCATGCTCTTTTCATTTCTCGAGTCGGAGAATCGTAGCTTTTAAGTGCTAGCGTTGTAAACGAAATGATTGTAAAGTCGTAATTTTTCATCACAGGGGTAGTATATGACATGCACCGGCTGGAAAGTCGCAGCTTTTCGTTCGCCGTGCAGCTCCAGCTTGAAGTCGCAGCTTTCCAGTACCAAGCTAGAATACTGACTAGATCGGCGCGCAGACTATACCTCCCCTTGCAATCGAAGCCTGCGCTTTCGCGCGGGCTTTCGCGGAACTTTCGCGAAAAATCACCCATGTTTCAGAGCGGAAAGCCACCGACTAACACCCACAGACACACATACACAGGCTTGGAGCACTAACCAGCCAAGCAGGGTATCAAACTGTAGCCTCACCAGGCTTAATTAGCGCAACATCAACAAAGTGTTTTAATCAGAATAGAAGGAAGGCTCAGCAGAAAAGCTGAACGGTTCCACATATCATTGATTAACCAGAGTTACGCAAAATTTTCGCGAGAAAACAAGTTACTTTCGCAACTCCATCGCGAATCTTTCGCGGAGCTACCTCAACTAACACCGATGGTCACCGAATACTAAACTCCTTACAAGGACCTTTAGAACGACTCCCATATATATATATATAAATTAATAATTATTTATCATTTAAGATAATGGGTATATATTAAGAAAAACAAAATCCATAATAAAAAAAAATAGAATAATTCTATTATATTTAAATAAAATCAAACAATATATTATTAATATATATTGTTAGGATTTTGATTTGCCCGTTTGATAATCTAATAGAATTGTCGTCATATAGGACCGTAATTTTATCAGATTTCTTATTAAATATCCGGAGAATCGATGAATAATTATGAATGAATTAGATTAAAAGAAATTCGAGAAATATAAAATAAATCTATTTATTATTCTCGAAGTCTCGGAAAATTCGAGAAACCAAATATAAAATACAATAATTGTTGTTTTATAAATTTCCGGAATATTTGAAAAATATGATTTGTCGAATTCCCTCAAAATCTGCGAAAAATATACCTTAAATATCCGGAAAGTCGATAGATAATTATGAATGAATTGGATTAAAAGAAATTCGAGAAATATAAAATAAATCTATTTATTATTCTCGAAGTCCCGGAAAATTCGAGAAACCAAATATATAATACAATAATTGTTGTTTTATAAATTTCCGGAATATTTGAAAAATATTTTTTGTCGAATTCCCGCAAAATCTGTGAAACATATACCTTAAATATCCGGAAAATCGATAGATAATTATGAATGAATTGGATTAAAAAAAAATCGAGAAATATAAAATAATTCTATTTATTATTCTCGAAGTTCCGGAAAATTCGAGAAACCAAATATAAAACACAATAATTGTTGTTTTATAAATATCCGGAACATTTGTAAAATAAATTTTGTCGAATTCCCTCAAAATCTGCGAAACATGTGCCTGAATGGAATCGATTTTATGATTGTATTTGGTTTCGTAAGTTTATATATTTCCCAGACATTTCCAAATTTGTTTTGCTCGTCAAATTGAATTTCGGGCCGCTTAACACCAACAATCAACGATAATTCTATCGATATTTCTATAAAAATAAAAATAATAGTAATATCTAAATAAAATGCAATAAAATTGGTTCTTCCAAAATTATATTATATTATAATTTATTAAATATTTATTTAGAATCAAACATAAATATATTTATATTGTTTAATTAAAAACCAAATTACAAATCAAAAACATATTTCACAATTAAATTATAATAAATAACAATAATAAATAATATTAAAACCATATATATATATATATGGTTGCTTTTATATTATTTTATTAAATTATAAAAATATAATTATATCTCCTTATTAATAAAAAATCACAAAACCACATTATATAGTTTTACCAAAATTACCGAATTCAACATAAACATATCAATAAACATTTAGAATCATTTCCAATATATTATAATTATCAAATAACATAAATCCAAATTCGGCATAACACTATCAATAAAGGTAAATATAAATAATTCTGAGTTCAATATCAGTAAATAAAATGAATCTAAATAATTATGAATGAGTGAGTGTGAGTGTAAATGAGTGAGTAGAAGTGAGAATGAGTGAGTGTGAGTGTGAGTGTGAGGGGAGTGTAAGTATGAGTGTGAGTGTGAGTGAGTATAAGTGTGAGTGAGTATAAGTGTGAGTGTGAGTGTGAGTGTGAATATGAGTGTGAGAGTGTGAGTGTGTTAGAGTAGTGTGTTGGAGTGTGTTAGAGTGTGGAGTGGGTTGGAGTGTGTTGGAGTGTGTTAAAGTAGGTTGGAGTGGATTAGAATGGGTGGAGTGGGAGTAAGAATGTGTGTGAGAGTGTGAATAAGAATAGGAATAATAATGTGAGTAAGAGTGAGACTATGAATGTGAGTAAGAGTATGAGTAAGAGTGTAGGTAAGAGTATGAGTAAGAATGTAAATAAAATTGTGAGTAAGAGTATGAGTAAGAATGTGTGAGTAAGAATATGGTTCTTATGTTTAAATTCGTTATTAACTTAAACACTACCATAAATCCCTCTATTCTCGGCATTCAAGAATTTATGTTAAACGATTTTGCCGATAAATTAGTTCTTTTAATTACAAAATCATTAATAATATTATGGACCTTAATTTTCTTTTATTTTAATATTATTACTTATGCGATTTATAATAATTCGTATTTTATTATTAAACGCCTTTATCCTCATAATATCGGCTTCGCTAATTAGTCGGCCCACATTATACACCGCTATGTTCTTAACCTCTTCAATTATGCCGTCATACGTTTTCTATCCATTTAAGATCTAACCCGTTAAAACATCATATATAACATTAATTGGACTATAGGAACGGGGTTACAACATATAACTCCACTTAAAACAATTTTTAATTATTTACCTATGCCCTATATCTAATGCTATATACTCCAAGATTCGCAACATCACAATTCGTCAAATTTTCTCCCAAATCACACATCACTTCCATCATGCATCGACAAGTCCTGTCAATTTCTTTCTCAGCACCCCTCTTATATCCTCTCTACGCATTACCACTTTAACCAACAACCATAAGAGGAACGTGACCTTGGTTAGCAATTCCGGCCTCATTCATAACACGCTCTCTCGCCTGCGGTAACTCTATCCGATCTGGGCTCCTAGGATCCCAAAGGCCGTTACGGCTGAATAAAGATCCCACCCCCTTTTGAGTTCTTGCTCGCAGGCTCCTCGACAGACAATCTCATATCATCCCTTTGAACCTAGCCTTTCCTGCCAATCGTCTCATGTTTTATGCTCTTTTTATATCCTCCTTACGGCTCTATCGGTCTTGAATCACGCTTCAACTCTCTAATCCTTTTAGCAGACATGTTTTGTGCTCCAACACCTAATTCTTCCACAACATTGAATTTCACCTCCTAAGGTTTAGTGTTCTCGTAGACCCGACACATCGGTCTAGAAGCCGATGTGTTGTCCGTCTTAGGATAAGAATCAGCTCGAGCCGCCGCATCCAAGAATTCAACATACCTCTTGTAACATGCCTTGCTGTGCCACAAGCCTTATCTTAAATCTTTCTTCCTAATTCCTTCATATGCAAAATCATCTTTTGTCAAAGCCTTCTCGTTAAGCCATATTTTGGGAGGTCCTAAAGCTAGTACATTCA